CGCTTTCCCATATCACCCCGCCCGCTCCATTCTCCCGCTTTCCATCACCCCCGCCAATTTTCCCTCTTTCCATCACCCCTCCCCATTCTCCCTCTTTCCATCACACCGCCCCATTCTCCCTCTTTCCATCACCCCGCCCCATTCTCCCGCCTTTCATCACCCTGCCCCAATCTCCCGCTTTCCATCACCCCGCCCAATTCTCCCGCTTTCCATCACCCCGCCCCATTCTCCCGCCTTCCATCACCCCACCCCATTCTCCCTCTTTCAATCACCCCGCCCCATTATCCTGCTTTCCATCACCCCGCCCCATTCTCCCTCTATCCATCACCCCGCCCAATTCTCCCACTTTCCATCACCCCGTCCCATTCTCCCGTTTTCCATCACCCTGCCCCATTCTCTCGCTTTCCATCACCCCGCCTTATTCTCCCGCTTTCCATCACCCCGCCCCATTCTCCCGATTTCCATCACCCCGCCCCATTCTCCCGCTTTCGATGACCCCGCCCCATTCTTCCGCTTTCCATCACCCCGCCCCATTCTCCCGCTTTCCAACACCCCGCCTCATTCTCCCGCTTTCCATCACCCCGCCCCATTCTCACTCTTTCCATCACCCCTCCCCATTCTCCCTCTTTCCATCACCCCGCCCCATTCCCCCGCCTTCCATCACCCCACCCCATTCTCCATCTTTCCATCACCCTACCCAATTCTCCCGCTTTCCATCACCCCGCCCCATTCTCTCGCCTTCCATCACCCCGCCCCATTATCCCGCTTTCCATCACCCCGCCCATTCTCCCTCTATCCATCACCCCGCCCAATTCTCCCACTTTCCACCACCCCGTCCCATTCTCCCGTTTTCCATCACCCTGCCCCATTCTCTCGCTTTCCATCACCCCGCCTTTTTCTCCCGCTTTCCATCACCCCGCCCCATTGTCTCGATTTCCATCACCCCGCCCCATTCTCTCGCTTTCCATGACCCCGACCCATTCTCCCGCTTTCCATCACCCCGCCCCATTCTCCCGCTTTCCATCACCCCGCCCCATTCTCCCGCTTTCCATCACCCCGCCCCATTCTCCCGCTTTCCATCACCCCGCCCCATACTTCCGCTTTCCATCACCCCGCCCCATTCACCCCGCCCCATTCTCCCTCTTTCCATCAACCCGCCCCATTCTCCCGCTTTTCTTCACCCCGCCCCATTCTCCCTCTTTCCATCACCCCACCCCATTCTTCCGCTTTTCATCACCCTGCCCCATTCTCCCTCTTTCCTTCACCCCGCCCAATTCCCCCTCTTTCCATCAGCCCGCCCCATTCTCCCGCTTTTCTTCACCCCGCCCCATTCTTCCGCTTTTCATCAACCCGCCCCATTCTCCCGCTTTCCAGCACCCCGCCCCATTCTCCCGCTTTCCATCACCCCGCCCCATTCTCCCTCTTTCCATCACCCTGCCCCATTCTCCCTCTTTCCATCACCCCACCCTATTCTCCCTCTTTCCATCACCCCGCCCCACTCTCCCGCTTTCCATCACCCCACCCCTTTCTCCCGCATTCCATCACCCCGCCCCATTCTCCCGCTTTCCATCACCCCGCCCCATTCTCCCGCTTTCCATCACCCCGCCCTATTCTCCCGCTTTCCACCACCTTGCCCCATTCTCCCGCTTTCCATCACCCTGCCCCATTCTCCCGCTTTCCATCACCCCGCCCCATTCTCCCGCTTTCGATCACCCCGCCCCATTCTCCCGCTTTCCATCACCCCGCCCCATTTTCAAGCTTTCCATCACCCCGCCCCATTCTCCTGCTTTCCATCACCCCGCTCCATTCTCCCGCTTTCCATCACCTCGCCCCATTCTCCCGCTTTTCATCACCCCGCCCCATTCTCCTGCTTTCCATCACCCCGCCCCATTCTCCTGCTTTCCATCACCCCGCCCTATTCTCCCGCTTTCCATCACCCTGCCCCATTCTTCCGCTTTCCATCACCCCGCCCCATTCTCCCTCTTTCCACCACCCCGCCCCGTTCTCCCGCTTTCCATCACCCCGGCCCATTCTCCCTATTTCCATCACCCCGCTCCATTCTCCCACTTTCCATCACCCCGCCCCATTCTCCCGCTTTCCGTCACCCCGCCCCATTCTCCCGCTTTCCATCACCCCGCCCCATTCTCCCTCTTTCCATCACCCCGCCCAAGTCTCCCTCTTTCCATCACCCTGCCCCATTCTCCCTATTTCCATCACCCTGCCCCATGCTCCCTCTTTCCATCACCCCGCCCCATCCTCCCTATTTCCATCACCCCGCCCCATTCTTCCGCTTTCCATCACCCCGCCCCATTCTCCAGCTTACCATCATCCCGCCCCATTCTCCCGCTTTCCATCACCCCGCCCCATTCTCCCGCTTTCCATCAACCCGCCCAATTCTCCCACTTTCCATCACCCCGCCCCATTCTCCCGCTTTCCATCACCCCGCCCCATTCTCCCGCTTTCCATCACCCCGCCCCATTCTTCCGCTTTCCATCACCCCACCCCATTCACCCCGCCCCATTCTCCCTCTTTCCATCAACCCGCCCCATTCTCCCGCTTTTCTTCACCCCGCCCCATTCTCCCTCTTTCCATCACCCCACCCCATTCTTCCGCTTTTCATCACCCTGCCCCATTCCCCCTCTTTCCTTCACCCCGCCCCATTCCCCCTCTTTCCATCAGCCCGCCCCATTCTCCCGCTTTTCATCACCCCGCCCCATTCTTCCACTTTTCATCACCCCGCCCCATTCTCCCGCTTTCCATCACCCCGTCCCATTCTCAAGCTTTCCATCACCCCGCCCCATTCTCCCGCTTTCCATCATCCCGCCCCATTCTCCTGCTTTCCATCACCCCGTCCCGTTCTCTCGCTTTCCATCACCCCGCCCCATTTTCCCGCTTTCCATCACCCCGCCCGCTCCATTCTCCCGCTTTCCATCACCCCGCCCAATTCTCCCTCTTTCCATCACCCCGCCCCATTCTCCCTATTTCCATCACCCTGCCCCATGCTCCCTCTTTCCATCACCCCGCCCCATCCTCCCTATTTCCATCACCCCGCCCCATTCTTCCGCTTTCCATCACCCCGCCCCATTCTCCAGCTTACCATCATCCCGCCCCATTCTCCCGCTTTCCATCACCCCGCCCCATTCTCCAGCTTTCCATCACCCCGCCCCATTCTCCCGCTTTCCATCAACCCGCCCAATTCTCCCGCTTTCCATCACCCCGCCCCATTCTCCCGCTTTCCATCACCCCGCCCCATTCTCCCGCTTTCCATCACCCCGCCCCATTCTCCCGCTTTCCATCACCCCGTCCCATTCTCAAGCTTTCCATCACCCCGCCCCATTCTCCCGCTTTCCATCATCCCGCCCCATTCTCCTACTTTCCATCACCCCGTCCCGTTCTCTCGCTTTCCATCACCCCGCCCCATTTTCCTGCTTTCCATCACCCCGCCCGCTCCATTCTCCCGCTTTCCATCACCCCGCCCAATTCTCCCTCTTTCCATCACCCCTCCCCATTCTCCCTCTTTCCATCACCCCGCCCCATTCTCCCTCTTTCCATCACCCCGCCCCATTCTCCCGCCTTTCATCACCCCTCCCTATTCTCCCGCTTTCCATCACCCCGCCCAATTCTCCCGCTTTCCATCACCCCGCCCCATTCTCCCGCCTTCCATCACCCCACCCCATTCTCCCTCTTTCAATCACCCCGCCCCATTATACTGCTTTCCATCACCCCGCCCCATTCTCCCTCTATCCATCACCCCGCCCAATTCTCCCACTTTCCATCACCCCGTCCCATTCTCCCGTTTTCCATCACCCTGCCCCATTCTCTCGCTTTCCATCACCCCGCCTTATTCTCCCGCTTTCCATCACCCCGCCCCATTTTCCCGATTTCCATCACCCCGCCCCATTCTCCCGCTTTCGATGACCCCGCCCCATTCTTCCGCTTTCCATCACCCCGCCCCATTCTCCCGCTTTCCAACACCCCGCCTCATTCTCCCGCTTTCCATCACCCCGCCCCATTCTCACTCTTTCTATCACCCCTCCCCGTTCTCCCTCTTTCCATCACCCCGCCCCATTCCCCCGCCTTCCATCACCCCACCCCATTCTCCATCTTTCCATCACCCTACCCAATTCTCCCGCTTTCCATCACCCCGCCCCATTCTCCCGCCTTCCATCACCCCGCCCCATTATCCCGCTTTCCATCACCCCGCCCATTCTCCCTCTATCCATCACCCCGCCCAATTCTCCCACTTTCCACCACCCCGTCCCATTCTCCCGTTTTCCATCACCCTGCCCTATTCTCTCGCTTTCCATCACCCCGCCTTTTTCTCCCGCTTTCCATCACCCCGCCCCATTGTCTCGATTTCCATCACCCCGCCCCATTCTCTCGCTTTCCATGACCCCGACCCATTCTCCCGCTTTCCATCACCCCGCCCCATTCTCCCGCTTTCAAACACCCCGCCTCATTCTCCCACTTTCCATCACCCCGCCCCATTCTCACTCTTTCCATCACCCCTCCCCATTCTCCCTCTTTCCATCACCCCGCCCCATTCTCCTGCTTTCTATCACCCCGCCCCATTCTCCCTCTTTCCATCACCCCGCCCCATTCTCCCGCTTTCCATCACCCCGCCCCATTCTCCTGATTTCCATCACCCCGCCCCATTCTCCCGCTTTCCATCACCTCGCCCCATTCTCCCGCTTTCCATCAACCCGCCCCATTCTCCTGCTTTCCATCACCCCGCCCCATTCTCCCGCTTTCCATGACCACGCCCCATTCTCCCGCTTTCCATCACCCCGCCCCATTCTCCCTCTTTCCATCACCCCGCCCCATTCTCCCACTTTCAATCACCCCGCCCCATTTTCCCTCTTTCCATCACCCCGCCCCATTCTCCCGCTTTCCATCACCCCGCCCCATTTTCCCTCTTTCACTCACCCTCGCCCCATTCTCCCGCTTTCCATCACCCCGCCCCATTCTCCCGCTTTCCATCATCCCGCCCCATTTTCCCTCTTTCCATCACCCCGCCCCATTCTCGCGCCTTCCATCACCCTGCCCCATTCTCCCTCTTTCCATCACCCCGCCCCATTCTCCCGCTTTCCATCACCCCGCCCCATTCTCCCGCTTTCCATCACCCCGCCCCATTCTCCCACTTTCCATCACCCCGCCCCATTCTCCCTCTTTCCATCACCCCGCCCCATTCTCCCGCTTTCCATCACCCCGCACCATTTTCCCTCTTTCCATCACCCCGCCCCATTCTCCCGCTTTCCATCACCCCGCCCCATTCTCCCTCTTCCCATCACCCCGCCCCATTCTCCCGCCTTTCATCACGCCACCCCATTCTCCCGCTTTCCATCTCCCCGCCCAATTCTCCCGCTTCCCATCACCCCGCCCCATTCTCCCGCCTTCCATCACCCCGCCCCATTCTCCCTCTTTCCATCACCCCGCCCCATTCTCCCGCTTTCCATCACCCCGCCCCATTCTCCCGCTTTCCATCACCCCGCCCCATTCTCCCGCTTTCCATCACCCCACCCCATTCTCCCGCTTTCCATCACCCCGCCCCATTCTCCCGGTTTCCATCACCCCGGCCCATTTTCCCGCTTTCCATCACCCCGCCCCATTCTCCCGCTTTCCATCACCCCGCCCCATTCTCCCGCTTTCCATCACCCCGACCCGTTCTCTCGCTTTCCATCACCCCGCCCCATTCTCCCGCTTTCCATCACCCCGCCCCATTCTCCCGCTTTCCATCACCGCGCCCCATTCTCCCACTTTCCATCACCCCGCCCCATTCTCCCTCTTTCCATCACCCCGCCCCATTCTCCCGCTTTCCATCACCCCGCACCATTTTCCCTCTTTCCATCACCCCGCCCCATTCTCCCGCTTTCCATCACCCGCCCCATTCTCCCTCTTCCCATCACCCCGCCCCATTCTCCCGCCTTTCATCACCCCGCCCCATTCTCCCGCTTTCCATCACCCCGCCCAATTCTCCCGCTTCCCATCACCCCGCCCCATTCTCCCGCCTTCCATCACCCCGCCCCATTCTCCCTCTTTCCATCACCCCGCCCCATTCTCCCGCTTTCCATCACCCCGCCCCATTCTCCCGCTTTCCATCACCCCGCCCCATTCTCCCGCTTTCCATCACCCCACCCCATTCTCCCGCTTTCCATCACCCCGCCCCATTCTCCTGGTTTCCATCACCCCGGCCCATTTTCCCGCTTTCCATCACCCCGCCCCATTCTCCCGCTTTCCATCACCCCGCCCCATTCTCCCGCTTTCCATCACCCCAACCCGTTCTCTCGCTTTCCATCACCCCGCCCCATTCTCCCGCTTTCCATCATCCCGCCCGCTCCATTCTCCCGCTTTCCATCACCCCGCCGAATTCTCCCTCTTTCCATCACCCCTCCCCATTCTCCCTCTTTCCATCACCCTGCCCCATTCTCCCTCTTTCCATCACCCCGCCCCATTCTCCCGCCTTTCATCACCCCGCCCTATTCTCCCGCTTTCCATCACCCCGCCCAATTCTCCCGCTTTCCATCACCCCGCCCCATTCTCCCGCTTTCCATCACCCCGCCCCATTCTCCCTCTTTCCATCACCCCGCCCCATTCTCTCGCTTTCCATCACCCCGCCCCATTCTCCCTCTTTCCATCACCCCGGCCCGTTCTCCCTCTTTCCATCACCCCGCCCCATTCTCCCACTTTCCATCACCCCGCGCCATTTTCCCTCTTTCCATCACCCCGCCCCATTCTCCCGCTTTCCATCACCCTGCCCCATTCTCTCGCTTTCCATCATCCCGCTCCATTGTCCCGCTTTCCATCACCCCGCCCAATTCTCCCTCTTTCCATCACCCCGCCCCATTCTCCCTTTTTCCATCACCCCGCCCCATTCTCCCGCTTTCCATCACCCCGCCCCGTTCTCCCTCTTTCCATCACCCCGCCCCATTCTCCCTCTTTCCATCACCCCGCCCCATTCTCCCGCTTTCCATCACCCTGCCCCATTCTTCCTCTTTTCATAGCCCCGCCCCATTCTCCCGCTTTCCATCATCCCGCCCCATTCTCCCTCTTTCCATCACCCCGCCCCGTTCTCCCGCTTTCCATCACCCTGCCCCATTCTCCCGCTTTCCATCACCCCGCCCCATTCTCCTGCTTTCCATCACCCTGCCCCATTCTCCCTCTTCCCATCACCCCGCCCTATTCTCTCGCTTTCCATCACCCCGCCCCATTCTCCCGCTTTTCATCACCCCGCCCCATTCTCCCGCTTTCCATCACCCCGTCCCATTCTCCCTCTTTCCATCACCCCGCCCCATTCTTTTGCGTTCCATCACCCCACCCCATCCTCCCCTCTTTCCATCACCCCGCCCCATTCTCCCGATTTCTATCACCCCGCCCCATTCTCCCTTTTTCCATCACCCCGCCCCATTCTCCCGCTTTCCATCACCCTGCCCCGTTCTCCCTCTTTCCATCACCCCGCCCCATTCTCCCTCTTTCCATCACCCCGCCCCATTCTCCCGCTTTCCATCACCCTGCCCCATTCTCCCTCTTTTCATAGCCCCGCCCCATTCTCCCGCTTTCCATCACCCCGCCCCATTCTCCCTCTTTCCATAACCCTGCCCCATACTCCCGCTTTCCATCACCCCGCCCCATTCTCCCTCTTTCCATCACCCCGCCCCGTTCTCCCGCTTTCCATCACCCCGCCCCATCCTCCCGCTTTTCATCACCCCGCCCCATTCTCCCGCTTTCCAACACCCCGCCCCGTTCTCCCGCTTTCCATCACCCCGCCCCATTCTCCCGCTTTCCATCACCGCGCCCCATTCTCCCGCTTTCCATCACTCCTCCCCATTCTCCGGCTTTCCATCACCCCGCCCCATTCTCCCGCTTTCCATCAACCCGCCCTATTCTCCCTCCTTCCATCACCCCGCCTCATTCTCCCTCCTTCCATCACCCCGCCCCATTCTCCCGCTTTCCATCACCCCGCCCCATTCTCCTCCTTTCCATCACCCAGCCCCATTCTCGCGCTTTCCATCACCCCGCCCCATTTTCCCGCTTTCCATCACCCCGCCCCATTCTCCCGCTTTCCATCACCCCGCCCCAATCTCCTGCTTTCCATCACCCCGCCCCATTCTCCCTCCTTCCATCACCCCGCCCCATTCTCCCGCTTTCCATCACCCCGCCCCATTCTCCTGCTTTCCATAACCCCACCCCATTCTCCCTCCTTTCATCACCCCGCCCCATTCTCCCGCTTTCCATCACCCAGCCCCATTCTCCCTCTTTCCATCACCCCGCCCCATTCTCCCGCATTCCATCACCCCGCCCCATTTTCCCTCCTTCCATCACCCCGCTCCATTCTCCCGCTTTCCATCACCCCGCCCAATTCTCCCTCTTTCCATCACCCCTCCCCATTCTCCCTCTTTCCATCACCCCGCCCCATTCTCCCGCTTTCCATCACCCCGCCCCATTCTCCCTCTTTCCATCACCCCGCCCCATTCTCCCTCTTTCCATCACCCCGCCCCATTCTCCCGCTTTCCATCACCCCGCCCCATTCTCCCTCTTTCCATCACCCCGCCCCATTCTCCCGCTTTCCATCACCCCGCCCCATTCTCCCTCTTTCCATCACCACGCCCCATTTTCCCTCTTTCCATCACCCCGCCCCATTCTCCCGCTTTCCATCACCCCGCCCCATTCTCTCGCTTTCGATCACCCCGCTCCATTCTCCCGCTTTCCATCACCCCGCCCAATTCTCCCTCTTTCTATCACCCCTCTCCATTCTCCCTCTTTCCATCACCCCGCCCCATTCTCCCGCCTTTCATCACCCCGCCCCATTCTCCCGCTTTCCATCGCCCCGCCCAATTCTCCCGCTTTCCATCACCCCGCCCAATTCTCCCGCCTTCCATCACCCCGCCCCATTCTCCCGCTTTCCATCAGCCCGCCCCATTCTCCCGCTTTACATCTCCCCGCCCCATTCTCCCGCTTTCCATCACAGTGCCCCATTCTCCCGCTTTCCATCACACCGCCCCATTCTCCCGCTTCCCATAACCCCACCCCATTGTTCCGCTTTCCATCACCCCGCCACATTCTCCCACTTTCCATCACCCCGCCCCCTTCTCTCTCCTTCCATCACCCCGCCCCATTCTCCCTCCTTCCATCACCCCGCCCCATTCTCCCGCTCTTCATCAGCCCGCCCCATTCTCCCGCTTTCCATCACCCCTCCCCTTTCTCCCGCTTTCCATCACCCCGCCCCATTCTTCCGCTTCCCATCATCCCGCCCCATTCCCCCGCTTTCCATCACCCCTCCCCATTCTCCCTCCTTCCATCACCCCGCCCCATTCTCTCTCTTTCCATCACTCCGCCCCATTCTCCCGCTTTCCATCACCCCGCCCCATTCTCCCGCTTTCCATCACCCCGCCCCAT